TACCCAATCACACTATTAATATAGATATAACCATTACCCCCACCGGATACTGGTAGAACAATGAGTTAGAAGAAAACTCTTTAAACATAGAGCTTACCTGGTAAACTTCACACAATACAAAATCCTCCAATCACCCTCTCGTGAGTCAGATCTATTATCACAATAGAATACTATCAATCAATTGATCAATGTTACTTGCAATTCGAGCAACTTAAACCTATTCATTATTGCATTAATTGAACTGGGTGACATAAACACTTTATTTACATAATTCAACTTCAATTAAAACAACCATTAAGGTTATTTATTCAAGGTGGCTGAATATGGGTCTCACCATCAACATCCTGACTTAAAGATTTTCATTCTTTATTCTTTTTTCATTACACCATTTAATTCAAGTAGTCATTCATTTAACAACTTACCAAACCTTCCAACATCATTAAATCACTTGATAGCCGAATCATGTGTAACCTCATTTACACATTTTTCATGATTTTAATCAATCTATAAAGGTTCTAATGACACTCTTTTATCAATTACATCCTTGTGTAGCCATTTCCAATGACAACTTTCAAATTAACCTTAATTAACCACTTTATTAAACCAATGAATTAATTAAGTTTCCAATGAACCAAGTTATCATTTAAACCGCCCTAATTCATCTTGATGTTCAACATTATCAATTAAATGGTGATCAAATCTCATTCCTTCTAAATTAATCTACCATGGCCGAATTGATACATAAGGTTTTTTTTTTTTTTTGTAATAAAGAGGGGCAAAAGCCCCAAACAAAACAAAAATTACACGACGCGAGAACTTAAAAGATCTACAGAAGCATCCTGAAGAAGGAGCTCTAACAAAGGAGAAGGAGGAGAATGATAAACAATAAGATTATTATCATCCTCAAAATGCCTAGAAGCAAACCAGTGAGCACATCTGTTATTTTCTCGAAAGGTGTGGACCCAACGAACATCCCAATCTTCAGCAAGCCATTTGTGAATACGGGAAACAACCTGAGAGTTTCTGTGATTGTTGCTCCCTTCTTGGATAGTGCTAAGAGCAATTTCTGAGTCACATTCCAACTCCACTCTCCTAGCACCAGTACCCCAGGCCAGCTCTAAACCTTTGAGGATACCCCAGAGTTCTGCATCAAGAGGATTACAGAAACCTAATCTGAAAGAGAAACCACCCATAAAAGCACCATTGTGATCTCTAGCAAGGCCTCCACAGCTAGCATGCTGCCTAGATAGGGAAGAAGCACCATATGTGATAATCTTCAACCGACCAGGTTCAGGACGACACCATTTAGTAGGCTGATGGGCATTAGGGAAGCTGCCAAGAATGCTTCTATTCTTACCTCTAGCTTCAATTAAATGCGCAATAAAATCAGAAATGACACGCTTATCATTGCTTGGCCTTCGAAAACTATCATCATGAATATGATGATTACGCCAATTCCAAAGATTCCAGCAAGTAGTATAGAAAACATCTCTCCAATCAACATGAATTTGATAATTCCAACCCTTACTCACATTTTTGATGAGCCAAGGTTGTAGGTCTAATGTGAAGAAATCGTTGGGGACCCTTCTACCAAACCAATCTATCCACAATCTTTTGGCTTGAGAACAATCTCTAAGGACATGAATAAGAGTTTCTTCACTGTTTGGACAGTTAATGCAAAAATTAGGACCCCCATTCCATTTGCATGTACGACTCCAAACTGGAAGCTTATTAAGAAAAGCCAATCACATCATAGTCTTGATTCTTTCTGGACCCATACAGCAGTTCAAGAGTTAAAGATGTCACACACTTACAGTATAGATGAATACATAAGGTTTCTTTAGGTTTTTACATATTTTTAACATGCAACAAACCTTCCATTCACCTAACAACTTATTAATGGCATCATTGTATACTTTGACATCATGATAGTCACTTTCAAAATACATTTGTTCCCCATGGCCAAATTGACACATTTGTGGATTCTAATAATTTTTCATTCATTTAATTTAATGTTCAACCACTTCAATCCTTTACTTACATATCACCATCCATGATTCCAAAGAAGCTTTGAATTTAGGCACATGACACACTTATTTAAGTGTGCGTCGTCGTGGCTTATATATGTAGATAATTAGGATTTTTCTTCAATCAACTTAAGTCCATTCATTCCAAGCTTTTATATATTTATTCTTAATCATGATTTCACTCAAATCTTAAATTAAATAAATCTCTCACTCCATAGGGTATCCTTAGCCGAATCTATATGTGGCTGGGAATATTTTTTTTGTAGTTTAAGTTATAGCGTTAACTTCTAATGTCACTCCTCCGATTTGATGAAGCGAGTCTGTTTTGGTTCTCAATGGTGATCCCAACACATTATTCATGTGGGCAAGGTTTATGCTTAATTTTTTATTTTGATTTTAAAATTGGTATAGATGTCCAATAAGTTAATATTATAGAGTTATTCCATTATTTCTACAATCAGTTAAATTGTAAATTTTATAAATCCGAGAGTGTATGTTGGTAAAAGTTAGGTTTGTGAGGCTAACCAGTGGTAAGATTAAGTTTGACACTTCATCTCAGAGCCATTTGATTAAAAAAGATCAATGACTCTGATTATAAGCATGTGACATCATTGATCTTTTTTGATCTATCGGCTCTCAGATAAGGTGTCACACTTTAAATTTGACACTAGTGTCAAAAGATCCTACCCCTATATATAATATATATATATATATATATGTGGAAAAAAGTATCTAATGTTACTTTAGATAACTTTGTCTGATGTTCTCCGAAACGATACCGTTTTGGGGTTGAAAAATTAAAAAAATTGAATGATAAAGACTATTATAACCATGAAATAAATTAAAATTACAAAGACACCATGATTTATGTCCCAAAACAATGTCATTTCGATGAACATTAGACAAAATTATTTAAAATAATTTAGGAAAAACACACACACACACACATATATATAGGGTTAAACATTTATACCCCCACTTTAGATAAGATTGTCTATAGCTACTCTTTTTTAACTAAGTCTGACCAGTAAGACAAAAAAATTATATTTTCTCTCCACCACGTCACCCGATAATGTCTGAGGAAATAGAAAGAAAAAAAACAACTTTATTGTATTATTATCTCTTAAGAAATCTTCCCTTCCTGCCAATGATTTGTTCTACGTACCTTGCATTAACAAAGAAATAATAGAAAGATATGTTTATGCATCAAAAAATCGTGTGTCGGGTGGTTCAAAAATTGACTGCATATTTATTTTATTAAATTATATGCCAAAGCTTTGTTAACAAATTCTGACATTTCAGGCTGTGTTTGTTATGTCAGCTAATATGTACTATAGGGGTTACCTTTTCCTTATCTACATGATTCCCACACTTATGGTAAAACATTTAACTAATTTGTCCATAAAATAGAAATTGCCATGTAGACGATTTTTGTTGAGATAAACTCTCAACTGCTGACGTAAACTTGATATACCCATAAATAGCACTCCATAGGGTTGTTGAATGGCTAGCATAAGTTCAAGCATCTAGAAACCACTTTCAGTTCAAGACCGTTGAGACTGTTGGAAATCGACAATCACACAGAATCGAGAAAACAGAAAAAGAGATAAGAGTAGAGAGATTGACACGATGATTTACCCTGATTCACCCAATATAGGCTACATCCAGCTTGTCTGTATTATATTCACCTCACCGCCACTCGTTACAAGTCTCTCGGTTTACAAGGCAAATATAAATAGGATTACAAGAAACCCTAACAGCAGCTATTCATGGGCCCAAGCCCAAACTGCTAAGAAAATTACAATAGAAACAGAGGCCTAAACATTACCTAGCCTCTACGGGCCCGGGGGCGCTGCCCCCCGGACCCCCGCCCGCTCACCTGGGAGCGGGACCCCAGTTGCCTTTCTGCTGACCCCGACAATTAGGGCCAACATCATCATGTGAAGTATGAGCCATACCCAACATTCTCCCACTTGGTGAATGCTTCACATGTTTCTTCAATCCCAAAGCATCTGTACACCATTCAAACTTCTCCGAAGTCACTGCCTTGGTCAGAAAATCAGCATTGTTGAACCTTTGTGTCAACCTTCTCCAGCAATACAACCTTGTCTTCAATCTTCTCTCTGATGAAGTGGTACTGTATGCCGATATGCTTGGTCCTCGCATGGAAACCTGGGTTCTTAGCCAAGAAAATGGCGCTCTGACTGTCACACCCAACGATCATCTCTCCTTGTGCAAAGCCAAGCTCTTTGCACAACCTCCGTAACCAAATAGCTTCCTTAACAGCATGTGTCAAGGCCATGTACTCAGCCTCTGTAGAAGATAAAGCAACAGTGCTCTGCCTCTTACTCATCCAACTGATAGCTCCGCCAAATGAAGAAACAACATATCCACTTGTAGATCTTCTACTATCAATGTCACCTCCCCAATCAGCATCCACAAAGCATCTCAGCTCTAACAATGTCTGTCCCCTTGAGCCCTTCACGCCTTCATAGCATAACCCAAGGTCAGACGTACCACAAAGATAGCGGAACACACGCTTCACAGCCGTCCAATGCTCATTTCCTGGCTTGGACATATACCTGCTCAATTCTCCCACTGCTTGAGCAATATCAGGTCGAGTACAAATCATGGCATACATCAGACTCCCTACTGCACTAGCATAAGGAACTGACGCCATCTCTTCTTTTTTCTTCTTCAGTCTTGGGACCCCAGTTGCCTTTCTGCTGACCCCGACAATTAGGGCCAACATCATCATGTGAAGTATGAGCCATACCCAACAGAGACGCTCAACAAAAACAAGCATATAGAATCTGTGCTTAATTGGCAATAAGTTACGCGGCTAATTCATTGCCAAACAATCTACTATAAAAGCAATAAACTAGAACTCCTTATGTACACAAAGTTATCTCCACCCATTATATTGAAATTTCAAAAATTGGTTCTACCTCCGACAAAGACCGTATATCCACAATGATCATCCCCTCATCTTGTTTTCATGAGGTATGCGATTTTTTTTTTTGGTCCAACTTAATGTGCCTGCCCTTTAAATATGTTTGAATTATCTATAAGCTTACATAAAAGAATAACATTACAAACATAATTCATAACTAATAATGTAATAATGATGCTTTTGCATACAGGTAAACAAGAGATTTATCTCTAAAGCGTTGATACTTCCATTATCAATGCTAGTGTTGCTATCAAGCACAACATTCTCATTTCCGGAGAAAACTTGGTTACATATTGAGCCTCCAAAAGGACATAATTTAGTCAAGTCAGCTACTTTTGTATCTGAAAAGTTTGAAATGGGACCAGGAACAATTGCGTCGAAACCTTTTTATGATATTGAGTTTCCAAAAGGTCATGTTGGAATCAAGAGTGTCGATGCTGAACTAATTGATGAAGAAGGGAATTTTGTGCCTTTGTTTGATACTTACCTTCACCATTTTTTTATCAGAAGATACATTGAAAATATTACCTTTTCACAGAATCCTAAGGCTCGTCAGAGTGCATTGGAAGGTATCATTTTCAAGAGAAATGAAGGCCCATGCTATGATCATGTTCTTCCATTTCTTTGGGGCATGGGAGGTGAATCACGAAGAACATCCTCGAACATTCCAGATCCTTTTGCGAAAGAAATAGGCAACCCTGCAGAAATTCCTGATGGATATGAAGAGAAATGACTATTAAACATAATGGCAATTGATACACGTGGTGCACTGGATAGGGAAGGTTGTTCTGAATGTAGATGTGACTTGTTTAATCTCCCAAAGGACTTTTATAATGTCACAAAGGGAGTTTATGGCCAGCCATTGACCACAGATTATAAGGGAGGAATGTTTTGTTGCAAAGACAACTTTCAATGCAAATTGAAAGAGGTTTTTCAAGGCCCAAGAAGAAAGTTTTCCCTAAGATACAAAATAAGGTGGGTTGATTGGGATGAACACCAAATTCCTGTGAAGATTTATGTACTTGATTCAACCGATCAGGTGAGATCAAATGGTTCCAAAGTAGTCCATGAGTGCCAGGTAAATAAGTTATTCAATGAAGTAGACTTTTCAATCTCAACTAAATTAAAAATTAAAATGCTAGTCTTTTCTTTCTTTGAAGCAAGCACTCAACAACAAAGATAAATTAACTTGTTACAGGTAGAATATACTATTCCCGCAAATGATAGCAATGACTCTCCTCATGTCCAGAAAGCAAACATCACAATGGAAAAAGGTGGTTATCTCATCTATGTCGCTGCTCATATGCATTTCGGTGCTATTAATGCAACTCTATATGGACAGGTAATTAATGTTCATCAGTTTGTATCATTTAGTTGAGTCCATTCTCAAAGCTCACTTCTAGAAGGCAACATAGGATTCCCCCTCATTCCCGTGCATTGCTGCCCACTGCACAATGAAAGTAAGGAAGCAAGCCTAACCTCAGTGATTAGGCTGGCTAAGTGGTACAACCACATAACTTCTCTCCCATGCTTGACAGACAGAGACTTCCCCTCTAAATCCCCTCCCTCTCACATTGAGAGGGCATCTTATCTTCCATCATCTTCTCCACTCTCATGCTCTTACTCTGCCTCTATGAATACACACTCATACACATTATTCCCCTTTAGATGCAGCACCATGGGAAGCTTCACTAGGGCCTTGGTCTCTACCATTACCACTATGATTACCCTTATATCAATATACCTCATCCTTAAAGGGTACATCTATGAACCGCCGGATCATTTTCCGTATAATCTTTATCATTTGTTGTAGATTATGCTTTATTAAGCTTTGTGTGCTTGATTTGTTTCTTTAAGTAATAATTTAGCTTGACTCCATACTATTGTAAGAAGTCAAATATATATATTACAATGAATCTTTACTTATACAATTGGTGCTTTTGTTTAATTTAGGATGGAAGGGCTTTATGTACCTCAAAACCAAAATATGGAAAGGGAAAGAAAGTAAGAAATGAGAAAGGTTACGCGATTGGCATGTCCGTTTGTTATCCAAAACCAGGTTCTATCAAGATTAAGAATGGTGAGACTTTGACCATGGAATCAAGATACAAAAGTGGCTTTCGAACTGGAGTTATGGGACATTTCAACATCTATTTGGCAGAGCGATTACCACTCTCGACGTATAATCTTTATCATTTGTTGTAGATTATGCTTTATTAAGCTTTGTGTGCTTGATTTGTTTCTTTAAGTAATAATTTAGCTTGACTCCATACTATTGTAAGAAGTCAAATATATATATTACAATGAATCTTTACTTATACAATTGGTGCTTTTGTTTAATTTAGGATGGAAGGGCTTTATTACCTCAAAACCAAAATATGGAAAGGGAAAGAAAGTAAGAAATGAGAAAGGTTCCGCGGTTGGCATGTCCGTTTGTTATCCAAAACCAGGTTCTATCAAGATTAAGAATGGTGAGACTTTGACCATGGAATCAAGATACAAAAGTGGCTTTCGAACTGGAGTTATGGGACAATTCAACATCTATTTGGCAGAGCGATTACCACTCTCGACATAGACATAATAATTCCTATTATCCACATCTTGCTTAACTGATGTGTTTCTTCATCGCATATGATATTAAATGTAAAATGTAGTTTGTAACAACTCGTTTCCAAATACACAAGATGTCATACACTTACAATATAGATGCATACTTAACAGTTACAGATACAGATGACTTCTAAGTGTATCAACATAGTTATCTTAAAACTACGTGACAGTTTAAAATTTTCTTATGTTCCTATATGCAAAAAGATATACTATACAATTCCATAATTGTAGAGAATATAAAACCTAACGCAACTTAACCTTTTGTCAAAATACGGAAAACATATCATCTGTATATTAGACTAACTAAATAAAATCCAAACCTGTAATTCAGAAAACCAACATACACTATATACAGATGATACCTGTAATCCGAATGCCATTACAAAATACCAATAAAAAAGAACGAAAGACAAATTGCAACAGAGCAAGACACCAGAAAAATAAAAATTGAGAAATAACCCCCACCTAAATCTGAATTTAAAACAAAAAAAAAAAAAATATGAATTTAAAACAGACTCCACATTGTCTCCAACCTAAATTACTGTCATTACACAAAACAAATAAATCTCAAAATCAGCACTGCAAAGCTGACACGTTTTTATCCCAGATAGTTGCTTAACCGCGTCATCTTCACACTTCAGAACGTCATCTCCAATCATTCTCCTCTTGCACAAGTTGGGTTTGCATATGGGTAACCCATCGTAAACCACTTCTTTACGCACCCATAAGCCTCTGAGGAAACGCTTCACACGCAGCCTGCACTGCCCCACAATGTGTTCATCGTCCAGAGCGCGAAACAATTCCAACCCCACCTTCATCTTATCTTCATCAACCCCATTAAGCAGCAGGATGCAATACACCTACTTGAGAATCCCTCTATCCTTTCATTGCTGCGATTTTCAAGTTTTCAAGAGCCTTTTGTTGCATAGTAGGACCTGATGATTCACGGAAGTAATTAACCACCCCTTCACGATACAACACTTCAGGATTCCCACTACCCCTACACCGCTGCAAGAAATAAACTTGACGGTTTATCTTATACATTCTCTCTGGGTCTAAGTAATCTACGTCTGGCCCGTCAACGTTTTCACTGTCAGAGTGAACAGCCCTTACACGGTGAAGAAAAGGCTTTGCATCAGTAACACATTCCAATGGACCAAGAGCAAATTTGTCCAGCGAAACTTGTTCATATACATAATCTGTTTTGGCAATTTGCAAAAAGTCCTTGCAAGTGAGTTTGACGTGAACGATGTCCTCTAGTGAGTGAGAGGCAACTTTTCCGAATATCCTCGTCAACAAATCACTTGGCAGAGAGGAAAAGGTCTCAACCTTGATGGGGGCCATCTTTATGCGCTTGAGAGGAGATGAATTGGCCATTAAGTCGTCCTTTCAACGAACGATGCAAACGTATTTGGGGTGAGAAACTATGAGAAACACATTGGGAACGAAAAATTAAGGAAACTCAGAATATATAAACGTCTAGTTTGAGACACTGAAAGGACAGACAACGGATCAGAAAATGAAGTGCCCATTTGTTGACAATGAAACACGACGTTCCATTATACCATTATTACACAACGCGCCGTGATTATTACTGACAACACATCTGCATGCGCACACACCATTGGAATACTGAACGTCATGTATGGTGGGACACCATTATGAGACACAGTGTAAAGTACTTTGAGAAAACTTAAACCATTATTAGACTGGAAAAACATCTAGTGAGTAATTTTTATTTCATATAAAAATAACGACCAAAAATGATAATTGTAATAAAATGTTTTATAATAATTTAGGGAAAAAATTGTATAAATGAAGAAATTAAATATTAAACGACGTAAGTTCATTTTATTAAATCCTAAACATAAAAACAAACAAATAATAAATGTATTAAAAAGTTCTTAATAATTCAAAAAAAATTAATTCGCAGTGGCGATTTGGACAGAATTATACTGAAACAATTGTAATCGAAGAAATTAAATATTAAACAACGAAAGTAAATTTTAAAAATGTAATAAAATGTTTTTTAATAATTTTTTAAAAAATAATTCGCAGTGGAACACTACACATAATCAGTTTTACAAATTATAAGGTAGCATTCAGAGTGAAATGTTACACATAATCAGATTTATTGCTTTGTTATTTAGTCACTCACCAATGAAACATTGAAATATGGATTAATTCGCAGTGGAATATTACTAATTTCATATGCTGAATCTAAATCCTTTGAAACATTGCTATATACTGTGGAAAACAAAAAACTTCCATAAGAATTCATACACTCAACCTTTTTTTTATAAAAGAACAAACCAAAAGGTCCATGCAAATACAAATATTAAGGAGAATGCAAACATTACAAATCTCAGACACTTAACAAAAGGGGATAAAAATCTTCAAATGGTTTCAACAGTAGTTATTCCATTACAACACCCCAACAGTGAAAACATAAAGCAGCACACTCAGAGCCAAAGATACATATTTTCGCAAAACATTTCCAAACATCGCTTCTTCATCAAAGGATCCCTTGCAATTTCGCGAAATTCTTTACAGGTTAACTCGAGATTGTAGATATCAAACATCGTTTGGGAGTCAACCATAACAAATATTTCAATCAAAACATCTTTTGGAAGACCTTTTAGGGACACAGGACTATCAGCAGCACTCCTTAGACGTTTTGCAGAAGTGGAAGCATCCATTTGATTATAGCTTGATGGAGATAAGATGACGAGAGAGAGTTGTGTTTGTTCAAAAATACCACAACTCAGTTATTTATATAGACTTTATGCAGAACAAAGAGATGAAAGAGATAAGATGTTATGAAACCAACAGTCATATTTAAAATTAATTGAGATGTTAACATCTCGGTAGCATGCACAATTAAAATGAGAATTAAAAAGTATCTTGAATTCATTAATGTATGTTATATTTTCGAGTGCAACTTATAACAGCATAAACAACAGACAGTGCATTGTAGAAATTGGGATTCTGCTATATAATGTGAAAAACGACAATGTCAAAGACAATTCAGACATTATTTTTCTTCCTTCTACGGGTAATCAATGAACACAGCACATTTCACTTCACCACACTTTACTTCATAACAGGTTACAATGGGTGATAACATTTCTCTCAAACAAATTAAAGACTACTTATTCCAACACATAATTCAAACAGCGAAAACACAACTCAAAGATTACGATAAAAGTTCACGTAAAACATTTCCAAAGAACGTTTCTTCATCAAAGGATCCCTTGCAATTCCAAGAAATTCTTTACAGGTTAACTCAAGGCTATAGATATCAAATATCCTCTGGGAGTCCACCGTAGCAAAGATTTCGATCAGGATATCTCTTGGAAGATCTTTCAGAGACACATGACCATCAGTAACCATCTTTGTACGTTTTGCAGAAGGCAAAGAATCCAAAGAATCCATGGACTAAGATGAAACATACCTACTATGTGGCCTCTTTATATAAACCCCCAGATGTAAATTGTAGTGGCAAACCAACAGTCAATAAAACTTAAATTGTAAGTGCTCATATCTCGGTAATATGCAGAAATTGATTTCCAAAGAAAGCACACGTATAAAATGAATGACTATTTTACAATTCCAAGTGGACAATATCATAAATCCATTATATGCCACCTCAAAAATTCATAACATTGTCTTTGAATAATATCTGATTACCCAAACCCCAAGTTTAAAATAAGGACTGCAGAATCAGTGTTCTATAAAATCCATCAACAGTAGATAGGCAATGGTCACCACATATTAAACACATTACACAGTACAACAAGGAATTATAAAACAAAAGAAATGTTTGGATAAGTTTTTTTTTCTGAAACACTAAATAATTAGACATTCGGTCATGGTTGCTTCGCTCATTGAGAATTTGTATACGCTTCAGCATCGAACCTATTTCAAAAACCAAAAAACAAATTACAGAAATCAGTAATTTGTATCGGGTCATGAAATGAAAATCACTTTCAATTTACAATTATTGGTTACATGAAAAAAAAAAGGTAACGTAATTTATTTTTTTTCTTATGATGAATTAAAATATATTCAAAATTTAGAATTTACATAACTCTTTTTCAAGCTTAATTTTTTTCGTTGTTCGCACAACCGAAGACTTAAATTCCTCAACATTAGGATCATGAGAATTCATCACAGGTGTCAATAAAGTTAGAGAAATATCACCAACATCAGCACTGTCACATGTCTGGCTTTTAACATCCTAGTCGATCAAATAAAAAAGAAAAAATATTCGGTTAAGCACATATTACGAAAATTCACAACTGTAAACTCATTATGTAACACGTATATAAATTGAAATAATAGATTACTGCTGCCTTTTCTGGTTCTAATGATAACATTTCATTTTTGGCTGCATTATCGAAATTTGCTTCATCTTGTAATCAACAGCAACCAAAAACAGTCATATAAATGAATTCAAAATGTGGAGACCTCATATGAACAGTTTGACATCGTACATTGGGGTCAACCAAATCATTCAGGAATGCTGTGATTATCTCCTCGCTGATACAAATCTTAGATACTTGATATTTTGGCTCACTGTACACGTTCAAATTTTTTTCCTTCACATTAATCTTAAACAGCATGGATTTTTCATTCAGAACATTTAGTTGCTCGGGATACTCTTCTGCATCAGCACCCTGGGAAAAGGAATTCAAAAAGAAAACCAATTTTCAAGTTACATACAGACAACGGTCATACATTACTTAATAACTAATCGATCCAAATAAGAAAACAAACCCTTTTGAAATGCAACTCACGCAACTCAGCAGCACTCATTCCCAACAAAGTAACACAGTCTCGATCAAACAGCAAAAAAGAAGCAGAATCCGTGTTATCCACAACTCTGACTTGAACACTGAATCTATAAAAATTTAAAAAAAACATTTATCATAAACAGACAATCACTAATCAGATCTAACACAGTTTAAAAATTTAGCATAGCTATTTTACCTAGGTATGTAATCTTCCCAATGTTTATGGCAGTTTTTACAGTACCATTTTTCAAAATCTTCACAAACGGAAAATGGACACCTATTGCATGACCGGTACCACCAGTTGTATCTGCTCTCAATTGATTTTTTAGTCCCATAAGTGATGCATGTGGTTACCTGCAATACGGGAATGCAACAAATTAATGAACAACATACCAAAAAAAAAAACCAAAACAAACAAAGGGCCTCAAACATGCCCACAAAAGGTGCATAACAGAAACTGGTAGATATCAGCAACAACAAACCACAGCAGAAATGAAAATTTATATACGTGTTACACATGAAAATTTAACATTCACCTTACTACACAACTTGATATCACTGATTGACTTTCTATCGGTCTCTTTAAGAAAATCACTTTCGTACGAATATGACGACTGAGTAGACAATTGAGTCAACCTCAAACTACTTTCCACACCAGCAGACGATAGACTACAATACAAACATTAACAACAACATAAGATTACATGCGGCTGAATAAAAAAAAATAACAGCAGCAATAAAAAGGATAATATGCAAACCATTTTTTGAACTCCACAATCTCAGGCAAATTTGAATCCATGATAATCTTGGTCGTATATTTTGTATTCGTCACTCTGATTTTACCTATACAAAACAAAAAACAACGAACATCCATCAATCTATAATACGGTACAAAAGCTAAAATTAAATCAGAAACACGTAGAAAATAAAATTTAACACAACACATACCCCTAAAACCCTTTATCCTCCCTAGTTGAACAATCATCACCTTATGAGGAGTGTCATTGCTTGCCAAAAAAGTTTGTACCTCATCCACATAATGCTCCCACAATGTGCATTCCAGCTTGTGACCCCTATACATTAGAAGCGCACAGACGAAGGTTACAGATATAACAATTCGTTAAGACACTGTAAAAAAACTTAACATTCTGTATACCTGAGATTGTCGAGTTCTAACACGATCATCTTTGTCTTCCTGCCGGAAACCAGATGCTCACACACTTCCCCAACTCCCGACAGTAAACCAATGACGTCTACACAGCAAAGAAGACAACACTAATTTAATAATTTAAATCGCAAAATAGACTGTTAATCAACAACGGTGGTCCCTAAACATTACACAACACTACCTACTAAATACGGAGAATCAGACGATTCTTTCTCAATGAGATCGTAATCAACAAAATCAAAACATTCGCAGGAAAATTAGGTTGAACAATTGATCTAACATCAGTCCTCAAGTTGAAAGACAGACGGTACTCATGACGGGTTGGCCTAAAATTACCGCTACTGAATCCAACTCCAAAGTTTTTAATAAAATACACTTCTCCATCCGTGATTTTTTTACGAACCTAAAGAGTTCCTTTCACAGTGACATGGATCCTTCCACCCTACAAAAAGAGGTAAGGACAAAGAATCAACAACACAAAACGAAAATCACAACAACAGCGTCGAAAAGAAAAGAAAAAAGATCTGTATTATATACCCGTTCATCCAACAGAACCATCTCAACATTGTCGTCTAAACCTTTACGTTGAAAGTTAGGAACCTGCCAAGATCGAACCACCTTCGCCTTAATCCTCCAATCCTCCTTTGTAGGATTAAGATCCTTTATAAAATCATATCTTGAAACCATTTCTTTTAGGGATAACGAAAAGAAGCAGCAGAAGGAAAAGACGAAAAAATGATGAACATAAACAACTGAAAACCGGAGGCAAAAACGTAAACAAAATGCAAAACACTCCCTTTTATAGACTCATGCAGTCAGAGTTAAATAAAATGGACTCTCCAAATGTTTTCCCTCCATCGAAACTTTCCAATTCAAATTTTCAAACCATTTCACAATTTGAATTCGAATTTTTAATCATTAATCAGATGAACAATTCCAATTCCAATGTAAAAACAGCTGAGTCATTAAAACAGAGGACCAATTCCAATGTGAACAGCAGTGGGCATTAAATGTCTTGCCTGCCACCACATCTGTTTAATATTTTTGAATTTAAAAATCTGATTTTCAATTTTTAAAAGAAAAATCCCTTTTCAATTTCCAATTTACTAAAGATGAAAAGTTTGCAGGTGGTGAACAGAAATCTGAGAATTAAGGAGAGAGTACCACATAGGAAAACTTTCCAAAGTTTGGGTTTCCTTTATTTATATATATATATATATATATATATATATATATATATATATATGGGTCCATTTGCAGCTTACAACCCAAACTAAGCCGAGAGACAAAAGAAGTTTTGGTGAACCCGACCCAAAGGCCGAAACAGACAAACAAAATTTTGACATAATAAAAGAAAATGAAATAATAGCTCATCAATGACATAGACATTTTATTAAAACAATCTTATTCCATCAAAGTGACTTTCCTTATTTTAGTTTAGTCTCTTCCTCCCATGCTAATGTAAATTATAAATAAAAAAATACAAATATCTCAAAAAAATTATAATTATATTATAAAAGGAGAAAAAATATAGGAGCCAATTTAAGGCGCTGCTGGTGAGGTTCAAGCACGAAAGAAGAGTGAGTGCTAGCAAGGGTTTACGTGTCAGATTTTAAGGTAAAGGTTGAGGTGTCGGATCCTCACCAATCACCACCCATTCATCTAGCAAATGGTTGACTGCCAAATCATCCATGCCCAATAAGCTGCTGCCACATCAATTGTACCAAGTAGGGGTGAAACTAGGCCAGGACGGCCTACAGGGGCCTACGTCAGGCCAGACCTAACCTGGTATATTTCGTAAAACAGGCCGGACTTGGACTTTGAAAAAGCTTGTTTAATAAAAAGGTCGTAGGCTCACTTTCATAAGGTCTGACCTATAAGCCTACAAGCAGCCTATATTGTACTATTTATTTCAATTAAAATAAAATATGATAAATATAAGAAAAAATAAAAGATATAAATTTAATCAATTGCAATTATTTATAACTTAATTATATTCAATTATATTTTAATAGAAATTTGATTTTATTTCTTATGTAGGAAGAATCAACATCTCAACATGTTAGATTGTGTATATGAATATATTAAAAGATTTTTTAGAGAGGTTATACTTACTACAAGCATTATGATATGTTTGTTGGATTCATGTAGTTATTTTAGTTTACATAGCATGATTTTGTTTGTTGGATCTGAAATATATGTTATTTAGTTTAAGCATTTTGCTTTTGAAAGTGACTTAAATGCAAATTGTATGAGTTTTCTTGTGATTCATGATTCTGTTTGGACGTTGAAATTATGATTTCTGGTTTAGCAACGAAATTTGATATTTTGTAAAGTTGATTCATGGTTCTGCTTAGAAGTTAAAAATTAACAGGCTAACGGGCTAGGCCAGGCCATTCACTTTTTAATAAATGGGTCAAGTCAGGCTAACAGTTAGACTCATACTAGGCTTAGGTCAGGCCAAATTAAAAAATTTTGACGTAGGCTTGGACTTTTTGGGACAAAGCTTGGACCAGCCGAGTCCACTTTCACCCCTTGTACCAAGTATGAACGACAATATAGATTCACACTTCCGACCGCCGAACCCAATCACGTTTCATTCACACTATTTCAGTCCAGAAAGTTCCTTTTAGACATATGCCCTTTTTTTCTTTTTCTTTTTCTTAGTTTGATTAACCTTTGGCTCTAAGAAAATGAATAATCATATTTAAACTATATTAAAAATAACCCCACCTAAACTTTGAATCACAAAAAAGAAAAATTATGTAATATACAAATTTGGTGTAAATTTATTTACTCCAAGTGAAAGACTTTAATTTTATCAATAAACGATTTTGAGTTATTATGAAAAAAAGCTTGATTACCATTTAAACTATTTCGTATAACTTTTTTTTTGAAATTTTTAATGGTTTTTCAAAATCATTTTTTAAAATTTTGAAAAAAAAATATAATTTTATTTTTAAATGTTTTTTCCTATTTTGAAAAAACATCTTATTATTATAAAAAAATGTTAAACGTATTTTAAAAAATATTATTTCCTATAAAAAACAAGAGAGATTTAACTAAATTCATTAAGAAACTGTTTTTACCACACACACAAAAAAGTGATTAAGAGACTACCGATGTAATATGTTCTTTTTTTTGTGTGTACATGTGATATAAATAAATACCAACTTTTATAATAAATTTGATGCACTTACATTTACCAAAAAAAAAAAATAAAATTGATGCACTTACAGTTGGCCCATTGTACATGGCCCAACCATTGATTGAAGAAGCTCGTAGTCAACTAGAGTTGTGGCCTAATAAATTTGGCCAAATTGTTGAAAGAGGCAATGATTTGAAATACAACAAATTACAATCGAATCCAAGACCCAATAAAGCAACAGATGTGATTGTGATTTGTTTGGGAAGAAAAGAAAAACAACATATTTGGAATGATTTAAGATTAAAGATTTGGGATGTATTTTGAATTTTTTATTTGTAATTTTTTATTTATTTTTAGATGTTAATTACTTTTATTTATTGATTCAAAATTTAAAAATCTAAAATTCTAAAAATAATAAAACTGCCTAAAATAAATAAAAGTAATTTACATCTAAAAAATAAATAAAAAATTACAAATAAATAATTCAAAATTCATCCCAAATCTTTAATCTCAAATCATTCCAAATATGTTGTTTTCCTTTTCTTCCCAAACAAATCACAATCACATCTGTTTGCTTTATTGGGACTTGGATTCGATTGTAATTTGTTGTATTTCAAATCATTGCCTCTTTCAACAATTGAGCCATTTTTATTAGGCCACAACTCTAGTTGAATACGAGCTTCTTCAATCAATGGTTGGACCATGTACAATGGGTCAACTGTAAGTGCATCAAAATTCTTATCAATATTTGATTTTCCTTACAATTCACTATATATTATCATTATGCTAATTTTTGGTTAAAGATTATTTTGTGTTTAAAGGTTAATTTAATTAATGAAATTTCTATTTTCTTAAAAAAATATTATTAAATTTAATAAATGTAAAAAAAGAAAAACAGAAATAATATCAGCAAGCGTGTGCGTTTTGAGTGTCGTGATAAATCGTGTAGACAGTAGCGGTCCTCATACACGGAAGGGAGTGGATCCTCTCATGTGAAAAAGTGGTCATGTTATTTGATCACAATCACTCATTGATGATGATGAGATAAGAGAGAGAAAAATGTATAAGTTTTAAATAAGAGAGAGAAAAATTTATTTTAGGCAGTTTTATTATTTTTAGAATTTTAGATTTTTGAATTTTGAATCAATAAATAATAGTAATTAACATCTAAAAAATAAATAAAAAATTACAAATAAATAATTTAAAATACATCCCAAATCTTTAATCTCAAATCATTTCAAATATGTTGTTGTTTTCCTTTTCTTCCCAAACAAATCACAATAACATTTGTTGCTTTATTGGGACTTGGATTCGATTGTAATTTGTTGTATTTCAAATCATTGCCTCTTTCAACAATTGGGCCATATTTATTAGGCCACAACTCTAGTTGAATACGACCTTCTTCAATCAATGGTTGGGCCATGTACAATGGGTCAAATGTAAGTGCATTAAAATTCTTATCAATATTTGATTTTCCTTACAATTCACTATATATTATCATTGTGCTAATTTTTGGATAAAAATTATTTTGTGATTTAAAGGTTTATTTAATTAATGAAATTTCTATTTTCTTAAAAAAAATATTATTAAATTTAATAAATGTAAAAAAAGAAAAACAGAAATAATATCAGCAAGCGTGTGCGTTTTGAGTGTGTAGACAGTAGCGGTCCTCATACAAGGAAAGGAGTGGATCCTCTTATGTGAAAAAGTGGTCATGTTATTTGATCACAATCACTCATTGATGATGATGAGATAAGAGAGAGAAAAATGTATAATTTTTAAATAAGAGAGAGAAAAATTTATTTTAGGAAGTTTTATTATTTTTAGAATTTTAGATTTTTGAATTTTGAATCAATAAATAAAAGTAATTAACATCTAAAAAGTAAATAAAAAATTACAAATAAATAATTCAAAATACATTCCAAATCTTTAATCTCAAATCATTCCAAATATGTTGTTTTCCTTTTCTTCCCAAACAAATCACAATCACATCTGTTTGCTTTATTGGGACTTGGATTCGATTGTAATTTGTTGTATTTCAAATCATTGCCTCTTTCAACAATTGAGCCATTTTTATTAGGCCACAACTCTAGTTGAATACGAGCTTCTTCAATCAATGGTTGGACCATGTACAATGGGTCAACTGTAAGTGCATCAAAATTCTTATCAATATTTGATTTTCCTTACAATTCACTATATATTATCATTATGCTAATTTTTGGTTAAAGATTATTTT